AAGGAATTTTTTAAATAAACAGAAAAAAGACAACCAAGAGTTACAAATTCCCAATATGGCTAGTAGGGGTTATGGACACCAAACAGATTTCCAACCATTTTTAATTTTAACAAACAAGTTTATGGGATAAAATAGGCCATAAATTGGTTCTAAACATTCAGTATTCTTCTCCTGAGAGGAGATCAGACCTTGGCGGGGGGGGAGGGGGGGGACCCTCTAAGATATATGATCTGGACCATTAAAGAACTATTAGAAGTATTGGTTATATATTTAGATCAGGCTTTAACCCTGAAAGTAAAAGGAAGGCAACCACAAACCCTTAAACATCCTAAAATGTGAAATCTTCCCTAACACAATGAAAAGAACATCTCACATAAATGACAGAGAAGTCAGACCCATTCTGAACTTGCATATCTTTCTTTTAAACAAAAACTCAAGCATATCCAATGAAAACAAGGCTGATAACATATAACACTAGATGAAGAATAACAGATAAATGTTGCTTTGGGGCTCATTTTAGCTGAAGGTTCTAAAACCTCTTTAAAAAGTCCTGTGAATCTTAATTGGATATTATGCTAGAGATGAGATGACTTTAAAAGAAAAAAATATTTGTTTAAGAAGCCAAATCTTAATGTTAAAATTTTTCTTTTGGTATTTATTATTATATGGTGTAGAAATTACTTGCTAACTAAAGCTTATATTACTGTAAGTATCAATATTTTTATGGGAGAAAAATTATGTTTGCAATTAAAAAATCAGAGGAGTTAGCTTACTTTCCCTTAGTACAATTATTATGAAATGACAAGTTTGAATGATCTTCCCCATTAGTGTGAGATAAGATTCCTTGAGGATGTTTATTTTAATTTTTCTGTATTTATATTGACAACATTCTGGCAGCCATATCCTTTCGGAATAATATCATAATCTTCTTTTTTTAGGCACTTCCACAACGTGATGATTTTATTTCTTGTTCATCTAGTAATTTTATTCAGCTCCAAAAATTCTATTCAACTCAAAAATTCAGTACAAAATTTATTAACTTGAAAAAAATGCTTTCATCCTTTATAGCAAGCCATTTTTTGCTGTCTGGGTATATATAAATCTGACGAGACCTTCATTTAATCAGTTGGGATTTAACAAAATATTCTACTCTTAGTGTATTAATCTATTAATCTATACTATATATTAGTCTGGAGATTAATTTGGCATTTCAGAAAGCAAAAAATGTCATAAAAGACCTTTAAGTCTTCTTTGGGCACCAATATAAAGGTTGACACTGCACTTAAGAGCATCCAGCTATCTGACTCATTGCCATTTCAAATGAACTGCCATTTACCCCTTGACCTTGGTCTTGGCACAGACCTAATACAGTGGTACATATGACGTTACGCACAGTATTCTTAAGTGCCTTACGCATCTGGAACTCCTTATGGGAAAACTTAAATTAACTGGCCGAAGACAAAGCTAGAGCTCTCAGAGACAGATCCTTAGTATCAAATTTAAAACTATATGCTTAAGTAATTTAGGCTGAAGAAGGATAATTTCCACTAACCAAGACACACTACTAGATCAGTCAGAAAAATGCATTTGTTAAAAATATTACTTTGGAGTATTTGGTGGGAGAAAGTGAAGAATCTGAGAGAAGCAACAGCTTCTCATGGTAGCTGGTACACTTTTAATTCACTTAAAATAATTATCATAAAGTACAAGTAGGTATAGTTTGTTTTCTAATTAAAAAAACAAAAAACAAAAGCAGACATTATGATGCAAAAACGAAAGATGACATAGTGAGGCAAGATTAGCAATAGTCCTGTATCAACTGGCTGTTGTATATAAGTGATGAATCACTAAATTCTATTCCTGAAACCAATATTACACTACATGTTAACTACCTAGAATTTAAATAAAAATTTGGAGAGAAAAAAATAGTGGCATTATCAGAGCTACTCAATGAAATTTAACATAATCTTATAGAAATTAGTAAAGGCTGTAGAAAAAAGTTTATATGGTGCCTTCCTTTATTGCTCAAACCAGGGTTGCAAGTAAAGGCAATTATCAATACTCCAATATCAGAAATTGGGAAAAATAAGCACTGCTTACTTTCTGTGAGCCTTTGTTGGGGTAGAAGTCAAAGAAAAGATTCTGCTCAGTATTTCGCTAAGTCTGGGCTTTTCCTCCAGCATCAAGCACTGCCAGTGAGAATGAAGGATTTTATATTTAATACTTGTCCATATTGTCACTCTGCTTTCCCTCTACTGATTTTTATTTTCCTGGACCCTTCACAAGATCACTCAGAGAAGATGTTCTCAAACTCAGAAAGTTAAGAAACCCTCTTCACAAGCTCCCCAGCCATCACAGAACATAATTAACTCCAGAAGTTGAATAGTTGTCCTTTATTCCATAGAAGCTGAGTATTTTAACTGCTTTTCCAGTTCTATCATATTTGGAATAGAATAATTATTAGTTGATAGACTTAAAAATATCAGAGCTAAAAGTGACCTGTGAGCACATATCACCACGCCTGGAAAACTGGTCAAGCAAATTAATTCAGCAGGTGGATAGGATTTATTTAGGTTGAATTTGAATGCTTACCAGTAGACTACAATACATATTCTGCGGGGCCTCGAAGGACATGTACATTGATAACCTCTGATCTTTCTCAAGAGTGTAAGGTGATCAAACGAAATTTGGATGTCTAAATGTGGAGTGGAAAGGAGAGAAAATCCATTAAGTTGATTAGATATTCAAAATGATTAAAAAGGCCACAGAGGACCATCCAGGGGCTGGTGGTGTGCCCCTCCCCCCAATGTTTAACTTCCTATGAGTTTACTTACTGTATTAGTTTACTTACTGTATTTTTCTTTCTTTTTTTTTTTTTTGTTCTTATCGTTCATGAATTTACTGTTGTATCTAAGAAATCTGTGACCAACTTAAGGCCACAACATATTCTGCCTCTTTTTCTTCTGCAAGGTTTTGCATTTAGAGATATTACATAATTCCAGTCAATCCTTACATAAGGTGTGAGGCTTGTGTCTTTTTAAGGACTTTAAATCTTCTTTTTAATTAACATATAATATATTACTAGTTTTAGGGGTATAGGTCTGTGAATCATCAGTCTTACACAATTCATAGCACTCACCATAGCACATACCGTCCCCAATGTCTCTCACCCAGCCACCCGATGTATTTTTTTTTCAATAGTTTCACGTCAAATAAGGACATACAGCCTATATGTTTATATTTTTAGAATTTACATTTTACTTTTCCAATTCATTGTGAGTAGATGACAGCTGATATCCTTTATAGTATCTTAATAAAATGCTAACATTTGGAGTCTTAGTTACTACATGATTTTTTTAAGGGTAGTTGTGAATTTCACATAACATCAATACTTGATGCTTTGTCAAATGATAGAGTTCTACCTGTGATTGTAATTTATCCCTTAAGTTGCTTGTCCATCTCTCACTCAGTACAAGATTCTCACACCATAGCACTATCCTCAGTGAACCAGTATGAAAGCTCCCAGACACTCCTTCCCAGCCTTTGTGAGACACATGCTTTGGCTCACTCCTGTAGGCATGGTAATCTGAGAAAACTGCATAATAGGAACATTTCAAATTTGTACATTTTGGCTTTACTGATGGATGTGTTATCAGTTATAGCTCATGGTGCTCTCATCATGTAGCATCATGCCACACAGATGGAGGAAGTTTTAAGATTAAGATAAGAGGTGAATCGTAAAAATGAAAGGTCTGTTTTTCCTAATCAGTGCAGAGATCTGGTTTGATATGAAACTGGCCTCCAAAGATGACAAACAAATATGTTAGTGGTGGCAATCCAACAGCTCCATCTTCAGACTAGACCCAAACCCGGGCGTGGCTAAATACTAGAACTGATCTGGTTTCTTGCAGGATATACGCTTTCGCTGGGTTTCCCAGGGTACATCATTTCCACCTGGATCTGCCTGGAACCAAAATGGTCTCCATTTATAGTGCATTTAGCAAAGGAACACCGATCTCTCAGACCATGTGCAAGCCTGGGGAACAGAGAAAGGAATGAAACTTGGATTTTGACTCCAAGAAAGTCTTACTCATTAGAGTAAGTTGACATTTTTCTGAACCTACGTCTTACTACTTTCTGCTATTTATGAAAAGTCTACAAGAATCAGCGGATATATGTGTTTTTCCTTCTTCTGTTTCATGTTTTATAATATATAGTTATTTCCATCAAAACTTTTAACTTGTCACATGTAACCCTTTTCAGTGTCAATAAAAATCTTTCATTAAAAATATTACTATCATACTTTGGATTTTAGAGTTTGGAGAAAAATCTAGTCATAGACCACACAGCTCAAGATACAGCTCTGAATTATTATTCCAAGTAGATTTTCATTCTAAAGTCTCTAGGCCTTTACTTTCAGCTTAGAACCCATTAGCCACTCTCTACCTTCCCCACTGCCCTCACGCCCATGCCCAATTCCCACAGCAGTTTCTGTTCACCCAAATCTCTTTATGTGCAAACTTCATCATTCATTGAACTGAATAACCTTAGGGAACTTCCAGCCATTGCGACATCAAAAACACCAAACCAACATATCACTCATTTGTGAAGTGCTTGATGGCACTGGAATCCACCAGAAACTGAATGTGTTGTCAATGTTAATATTATTGCTAGTCTTGCCACTGTAATTAAGCTGATTTAACAAGTCCAAGATATTATGGAGCTTAACATACTAGGTCTATTTCCAACCATAAATTCTCCTTCCAGTTTTAACAAGAAAACAGACAAAATTTGCTTGGTAAATGAGAGAAGATTACTTGTCACCTCAAAATATATAAGTACCCTAGCTATAGATGCACAGATTTAATTTTTGGTACCTTCCTTTCGTCTGGATTTGTACAGCACCAAAAGTTCTGGATATACCCAGTCACAAAAGTATCCATTGAGCCTGCTATCGCTGGGCCTTACAAACTCCCCACCCTCTGGGGTGTAGGACTTACTTGCTGCTGAGGCAGCGTCTCAGCGAGTAGGAGGCCCCTCCACCGCAGGTGCGTGAGCACTCACTCCATGGGCCCCAAGCATCCCACAGGCCATCTCGGTCCTCCTCAGAGCGTGCCGTCCTGGAGCTCTGTGAGAAAAAAAAGGGGAGGTCAGTATCATGTCCCCACTGAACCCTAAAACATGCATCCTGAAGGGAGGGTGTTCTTTAAGTAGGTCTATGGTAGCCTTGCTGGAGACGAAAACATGAATCAGATTCTTTCCGATTTAATTATGTGTGTATGTTTGGGGAGTGGCATATTTGACTTTAGGGACCCTGGACCATGACTAAAAGGGACAAGAGACTGGGCAATGGAGCAAAGAGAAAAGGGGCAAGAAATAGGAATCTGGGGGAGAGGAAGATAAATTGCACAAAAATAAATTTTGCACTGATCACGAATTTGGGGCACCTGGGTGGCTCGGTTGGTTAAGCATCTGCCTTTGGATCAGGTCCTGATCCCACGATCCTGGGATCGAGCCCCACATTGGGCTCCCTGCTCAGTGGGGAGTCTGCTTTTCCCTTTCCTCCCTCTGTCCCCTGCTTGTGCTATCTCTCTCTCTCTCTCTAAAATAAATCAAATCTTTGAAAGAAGAAAAAAAAAGGAGTCACAATTTTGTCCTGGGCTCCGAAGTCTTCTGCTCTACTACCTCTCTGTGAAAACAGAGAAGCTGTTGTCAGAGATGTTTCTGCTCTAAGAAACTTGAAATGTGCTTATCAGTATGACCTTCCAAAATTTAACATTTCATACAATTGACTTTTTTTTTTAATGTTTAAAGGAACATCATTTCCAGATTTCAGACTTGTTAATTAGAATAACTGCATGAAGTAACCTCAGTAATGCTGGACGGCCTCTTGACAGACAGATCTGCTTGATACTAACAGGCTTCTAGTGAAATCTGCACTGGTCTCCACGTTGAGCCTTACTTTTCTCCTAAGAGTCAAAGATAAAATTTATGCCATAGTTAACAGAATAGGCTCTGGAGTTAGAAACTGCCTGGGTTGGATATGGATTCTGTTTTTACTATGTGTCCTTGAACAATTAAACTGCCACCTACCTATGCTATAATTTCCCTTTCCATAAAATGGGCATAATATTATAACCATACCTCTATGTGCACACACACAGACATATTATATAAGAAGATTAGTTAAATTCACCTAGCCTGGGACTAATTTCAGAGTAAAAACACTAATAAATATTGCCCATTATTATAAATTGAGAATGTCATATAGGTGCGTACATAGTTGTATAAGTCAGCTTAAGCTGCCATCACAGAATAACAGACTGGGTGGCTTAAACAATAAAAACTTATTTTCTTATAGTTCTGGAAGCTGAAAGTCAGAGAACAGGGTGATGGCATGGGTGCCTCCTGGTGAGAACTTTCCCCTTGGGTTACAGAAGGCAACCTTCTCAGTGTGCACTCACATGGCCTCTGCTTTGTATGAGAGAGAGAAAGAGAGAGAGAGGAAAAAGAGCTTGCTCTGTGGTGTCCATTCTTCTAAGGACACTAATCCCATCCCCACTTTCATGGCCTCATCTAAACTCATTACCTCCCGAAGGCCTCATCTCCATATACCACTCCATGGGGCCTTAGGACTTCAAGATATGAATCACAGTGGGGGCCACGACTGAATCCATAGCAATGGTTCTACAAATAGCTAATGTAAACTGGGGTCAAATTATTCCACTGAGTAAATTAAAGATGATATCCACACATTAAAGATGGTATCTTCTCCTATCAATCAAGAACATATTTATGGAAAACAGAACAATTTCAAAACTCTTTAAATTTGGGAAAAAACAAACCCTAAGGAAAATAAACATTTTAGACAAAATGATCATTTCATCTTCAGGTTTCCCTCTGAAGAGAGTGCACAGGTGGCATGCAATACTGTGGAAGGATGGGACATGGAGGTGACAGGAGGTTCACCTCTTATGAAGCATTGGGGGAATCTGAGATAATGTAAGTAAGGTGACTGGCACATAGTAGGTCTACAAGTGGGAACTCCTCTTGTTATTGATGTTATGGTTATTTTTACTTTTTTAATCTCCTTCTCATGGCCTACATAGGTCTAGTCAAGGTGTTATCATCCAAAAAGGAGGGACTCCTGAAAAAGAAAAGAACATTCTCTAGCCTCTCAGGAAATGGTTTTTTTTTTTTTTTTTTTTTTTTTTTTTTTTTTTTTTTTTTTTGCAGTAATGGGCTTCTTTACGGATCAGAGCTGTGGGGCTCTGTTGTCAAACTGACAACTCCTTGGAACTTTTAAAACCTGGATGAGTGACGTCAGAAACCTCACCTCAGAGTGTTGGATCAAGGCTTATCTAACTAATGCGAGCTTTATTTAGATTCATAAATCATTTGTAAAGGGCTAGCCCAGGCTAGCATATTGGTTAGGAGCATGGACTGAAGGACCTATTCAGCCTGGAGCAGAATCCTGTCTCCAGAATTTCTCTGCTGTGATCTCTTAACGCTTCTGTTTCTGATGAGAAAATAAGGATCATAAAGACTAGGATTGTGAGAATTAAAACAAGTTAACATATAAAAAAAAAAATCACATAATGGGGCACCTGGGTGGCTCAGTGGGTTAAAGCCTCTGCCTTCAGCTCAGGTCATGATCCCAGGGCCGTGGGATCGAGTCCCACATCGGGCTCTCTGCTCACCGGGGAGCCTGCTTCCCCCTCTCTCTCTGCCTGCCTCTCTGCCTGCTTGTGATCTCTCTCTGTCAAATAAATAAATAAAATCTTAAAAAAAAAAAATCACATAAGGTTGAAAACAACCCGAGTGCCCATCACTGGATGACGGGATAACTCAGAGGTGACAGATACACACAACAGAATAATACTCCACCTTAAAATCCATTTGGAACATGGGTGAACCTTGAAGACATCATGATAAGAGAAATAAGCCAGACATGAAAGAAAGAAAAGGACAAAAACTCTGTGAGGCATCCCGAGTAGTCAGATCCATAGAGACTGAAAGTAGAGTGGTGGTCGCCAGGGGAAGGGGCATGGGAAGAATGGGCAATAATGAGTCCATGGTTATAGTTTGGGAAAATGGAGAGAAACCTGGAGATGGATGGTGGTGATGGTTGTACAGCAATGTGAACATCCTTAATGTCACTGAACAGTAGACCTAAACATGACTAAAATGGTCAATTTTATACATTTTATCACAAAAAATATATACATATATTCTTTAGAAGTTAATAGGGCTTAAATTAATACGATATAAGCATTTGCCATTCTTATTTCCATTATTTATTGCTACCATCATTTATAAACACATATGCACTCTGAAAGGTTGTAGGAGGTGCTCTGGGAATGTACTAGTGTTTCTTCCTGCGGGGTTACCTGCAACATTCTACTCCTAAGTCGTCATCTCTCTGTAAACCCAGATGTTCCCACAGCAGAACCTCCAGCCACCTGCGGATTGCATTTGCCTCGTGACATGATTTGTCAGTAGTTTGAGGACCCTACAAAATGTGGGATAGAATGAGTAACAGAAACACACTGGTTACCCCAAAGTCTGTTTTTTCTAAAGGACGTATTTAACTGAGCTCCAAAGCCTGGTTTTTAGGATTAATAAAATGAATTTCTAATCAAGGCAATATGGGGCACCCGGTTTCCAGAGCCTAATTATATACTGAGGGAGAAAAGACTCTTTGGCAATGAACTATACATTGTCCATATACCCATTAAATTCATGCCTCAGATTTTTAGCGAGTTTATTGTACATCCTCTGGCTCCCTTTTAGTTTGCTCTGTGGGACTGGAAGGAGTTCTGTCGAGAGCTATGGTATTTGCTGGATGCCGTGACTCCTCATGTGACAAACATACATTTGTCCGATGCAATGTCCCTCATTCTATTCAAATTAAATAAATCTGAGAGGAAAACCAACATCACAAATGCTAGGATTCATGAAACAATTAAAATGAGTAAGATGAGTGATCACAAATTACGATACTATCCAACCATTACAACTGCGAAAAAACAAAAACAAAAACAAAAACAAAACCCAAAAAACAAAACACAAAAAACCCCAGCCCTATGCAGCATTCACATGTGAATCCCATTTCCATGTGAGATAAGAACACCAGAATGCCAAATCCTTGGGAGGTTTCCCTCTGGCTGCTCTCAGGGTAAGATATTTTGGAAAAAATGTATAGTTGAGATTTTGCCTTTCTAGAGAAACAAATTGTTTCAATGTCTGTGCCAAAGTTGCTTGTTTTTTTTGTTTTTGTTTGTTTCTAATGTTCCTTGTCTAAAGCAGCACCCAAATGGCTCTCAGGTAATGCTGTGTTGACTAAAATCTTATCTTGTTACAGGTGACAAGTCTCGGCACAACTAGACACACGAAGTGCCCACATTGCTCTGAGAGCCATCACACGGAAACCCAGAAGTAAGCTGTGGGCCTGTTTCTCAAAATGGAACAATCTCCAATTTGTCTTTTATCAAATGGAATAAACGTAATTCATGTCAACTGAATCCATGTTTAATGTTCGAAAGTAAAGTGATTTACCTGCTCTTAACCTGCTAGATTTTTACATCTATGACCAGAAACGTCAATGCAGCAATGCCTTGCAGGTCATTTAAGACCTACCAGCATTTACTTATTTCGGTTTTTAAAAGGGCCTTCAATATAAACAACTTTTGTGCCTGGTCCAGATGGGACTGGAGCTTACTCTCTCTTGTTCAGGGATGCACATTCCTCTTCTTCACAACAGTTTTTTTTTTTTTTTTTTTTAAGTGTTAACGTTGAATTGCATCTAGCAAGAGAAATTGAGGCAGAAAAAATAAGGACTAGATGATGAGTTGCCTAGAAGCAATGATGATTGCTTCTGAAACCAAAAGTCTAAGCTTTTAAAATATACCCAAGCCAATGCTTTCCAATTTGATTTCTGTTACATAAATGTACCATTGCAATTCTCAGCATCTCAGAAACCAGGTCATGGATGCTCTCAAGCACAGTGACCAAGAGATCACCCTTGACCCCACTGCAGGGCATCTCAGCAACAGTGTCAGATGAGTTGGTGAGCGTTTACTACAAAATAACCAAGAACGAAATGGCAACTATTAATATCTGTGCATA